CCGATTTCTTCTCACTTTGATGGAACTTTCTAATCTAACAGCACATAACCGACTGTTAATGGGGATCCAATCGACTAGTGCTGCCTCAGCTCTAGCGCTTAGTGCGACACCAACGCCAGCAAGACCAGACGAAGATGCCACAGGGTCCCCGGATAAGCGCACGTAAAACAAGCTTTTCGAAGCGACAGATGGAGATCGAATTTGTAGTACTTCGCCAGAGTCTTGAATACGGGTCTCGGATAGACAGCAAACATCAATATTAAGACTTTCCAAAGACATAGCCAGCCCTATCTGTTGTCCGACCTGCATAAATGTGCGAACGTTGAAGGCAGCCAGTTTGAATGGTGCACGTGGTTTCAGAAAAACTGCTTCAGTATTCGTATTCGGTGGTAACTTACAATTTTCAACCGGACAGTGACTCGAGAACGCTTAGATACAGTCGAATTTCCACCATAGACGAGCTGCTGTATAAGTCGAAAAAATAAGATAGACAGAGTAGGAATAAAAGAAGGTGAATAATGACGTAGTAAATAATAAAAATAAAAATAATAATAATAGTAATAGTAATAATAATAATAATTTGAATCATTTGATCGTTAATCGAAGCAAGAAAAGTAGTCCCCATAATTATAGACAGTTCATCATTTATGTGTGGGCTGTGATACTGCTCGGGTGCCCAGGCCGAAGCAGGTGGTTATCTTAGGGGGCCACACCCCGAGCCTTTGACATAAAGGTCTAACCCACAAGGCAGTGGAGCATCGTAAGAAGATGCAGTCACATGGTAGCCGGTGACCGAAAATTGGTTCATACGCCATTTGTTCCCGCAGGATACTGGAGCCCATGTGCACCACTGATTTGGTTTGGGATCCGGTTAAAGCGCCGGACATTCGCTTTTCGTCCTCTCATTTTCGTAAACAACACCCCCGCCACGAGAAGGCAGTGAGTAGGACTTCCCTGGTAGAGGCTGTATACGCGTGGCCGTGTGAGAGTATTTCATCATCTGACTTTCCAGGTATGATCTTCTACCAGGAAACTCACTGTTGATTTAGAATACGCAGATGATATAGCTGTTTAGTGAAGACACAAAATGTCGTCTTTAGACCAGCTTAACAACAGTCCAAGTATGTTTGGGATGCGGTTCTCTCTGTTTAGATACAAGATCTTACTTCAAAATTGACTTGCACAATCGCCTGAATTACTGATAGAGGGTGGTGAAGTAGTTGAATGCATCGACCACTTCACTTATCTTGGGAGTCTCATCAGCTCTTGTGGTCTGGTGTGCGACGAAATCGCAGCACGGATACGGAATGTTCGACTAGCTTATGCTAACTTGCGTCATTTATGTCGTAGGCGAAATATCCGTCTACCAACCAAATATTTGTTTTATATGAACACATAAATATTGGTGCAAGGAGGCACCAGATATATATGAGCCACACAAAACAAGAATGGAGAGAATGGACAACCCTGACGAACACCACATGTGGTAATCAATTCTGATGACAGTTCGCCATAAGCTCTCACTCGACCTGTTGTGTTCGAGTAGAGAGCCTTTACAAGGTTAATGTACTTCTTTGGTACTCCTTTCAGTGACAAACACTGCCACAGAACCTCACGATCAACAGAGTCAAATGCTGCCCTAAGGTCGAGAAATACTACGATTGTGGGGCGTCTGAATGTGTGTCTATGTCCTTGGACCTGACGTAGTGTAAATATCTGGTCTATACAACCACGTCCAGGTCGAAAACCAGTCTGGTTTTCTCTAGTCTACTCTTCACGAGCTTTAGTTAGGCGTCGAAGTATTATTGAAGCTAATATTTTATACACCATATTAGTCAAACTGATTCCACTGTGATTGTCACAAGAGGACTTTTGTCCTTTCTTATAGACTGGCACAATCAGTGATTGAGACCAGTCAGATGGGATTACGTCCAGTTCCCAAATTCTACCTAAGACCTCAGTAATATCACTGCTAATACTGGACCACTATCCTTAACAATCTCAGGAGTGAACCTGTCAGGGCCTGCTGCTCTCCCTCGCTTCAGATTTCCTATAGGTTTTTCAACTTCATTAAGATTCGGAGGACCTACATTAACTTGCCATTCAGGTTGACTGGAGATCATGGGAAACCGAAGTGTGGCTGAAGGCCAGTTGAACTGATCCCTAAAATGTCCTGCCCATCGATCCAATCTCACGAATAGCATGTCCGTTTTTTTCCGAGAGAATTTCACTAACAGTTAGGTTCCTAATACCGGTTTCCTTAACAAGTCTGAACAATTGTCTGCTATTACCTATTGCCGATGCCTTTTCCATCTCTCTTGCTTTCGCTACCCACCACTGTTAACGATCATTGCGTAGACTTCTTGTCAGCTTGCGCTTAAGCTGACTTCGCTCTTTGTTATGTTCACAGCCAGATGGAATGAGTTCTCGAGCATCTATCAAGGAGGTAGATGCTTCTGAGATCCAGTGTTTCTCCTTAACCTTGTGGTTTACCGCAATAGCAGATACCATTGCTGTTTCCACAGCTTTTCGGATATTATTCCATGCTGCATCGGGGTGGGCATCACTTACATGGTTGCCTAACAGTTTTCCTAGTTGTTCCTGAAATATACTCTTAGCTTGACTATCATTAAGTAGGGCCCTAAGAGGTTTCCTTGCAGCGTCTTTCCTACGTCCAGTAAGACGCAATAAAATACGAGCCCGCACTAGAGCATGACCTGAATTTAAGCATGTGCTCCAGAATGAGCGACAGTCTTCTATCGAACCCCTCCATCGGTGGCTGATAGCGATGTGATCTATTCGAGTCCAACGTTGGGACGAATTAGGGATCGCCATGTCATAAGATGCCTTTCCTTATGCTTACAGTTAGTGTTTGCAAGAAACAAGAGGTTATCTGAGCATAGCTGTAACAGACGGTCACCATTATCTGTTCTCTGAGTCACGACACCATAATATCCACGCAGGTGTCTTTCCCTTTTGCTTAGTTAACCTACTTGAGCATTAAAGTCCTCAGCCACTATTACTACATAAGAGCGCCTAGCTTTTAGGAGGTCGGAGAGCTTTCTGTAAAACTCATCTTTTACATCATCTGAGCTGCAGTCAGTGGGAGAATAGGCAGAGACGACGAAGAGGCAACGACGAGTGTCCCTATCTTTCCGAGTCCTTACTGTCCCGTTTAGTCGGACAGCGCACAAACGACCATCTACTGGGATCCAGTCTAAGAGAGCTAGTTCTGCCCTAGGACTCAATGCTATACCTACATCAGCGAGGCCGCGGGAAGCAGAATCAGGGCTTCCAGATACACGAAGTGTGAATCGAGTTGGTTCTTTATTTTGACATGGTGAGGTCAAATGAATGACGCTACTCGGATCCTGTATGCGCGTTTCGAAGACGCAGCACACATCGATGGCACGAGATTCTAAAGTCCCAACTGAGGAAGCCTGTTGTCCTATTTGGCACAGTGTTCAGACGTTAAAAGCTCCTACGTGTAGTTTAGAGAGTGGTTTCAGTAGGTCAGGAATAACGTTCCGCGTACTCGAATCGTTTGCACTAGCGGTGCGAGATGATAAAGAGACGTGAGAAGGGTTAGTCATGGAGATAAGAGAGGTATTAGGAGGTATAGGAAGGAGTTGAATGTGACCAACTTTGTCTCATGTGCTGTTACGAGTATGTGGGCTGACATCACTTCCCGGCTGCCCACACCGTGCAAGGGTATTTCTTGAGGAACCTGGAAAGGAAGTCGGATTAGTGTTCGTCTTAACGACTTGGGAGCGTGACCGCAGAGCCCAAGAGGTAACTGTTTGAGGCCGGTCGCGCACGGCCTTGTTGTGGGAGGTCTCAAACATGTTAGCTCCGTTCTTTAAAGGGCCCTACTGCAGGAGACGGAAATCCGTGAGGTAAGGTGAGGCGTGACATTTTTAGGGTCGACCTTTTCTAACCCCTTCCTTCCTTGTGAGAAGGCAGTATCGCTGCAGATGCCGGTTGTAGGAGGAAAACACCTTACTGCTGTCACATCTCTCTACAGTCGGCAGTACGAATTCGCCCTCAGACCTTGAGTTGCTGCTTTTAGTCTTACCGTTCTCCAATCGACCTGCCTGGCATGGTAGAACCTAAAGGAACATATGTTCCAGCCAATATAGTTCGGTTGGGTCAATACGATGGGCCAGCCCGACTACCATGTCAAGGTAGCAGCTACAGTTCGGTATATACCGGACAGTAATCACCGCGGTAAAATTGTTATAAATTCATAATACATATGATGATTTTGCAAGATGACATATCAAAACTATTGCTCACATGCCTAGCATATGTTTGTAAGATTACTGTGCATACATTCTTTTCACCGATTCCATACTGAACATTATAAATGCTTAAAAAGTAGACATAAGTGGGGGAAAATTTTAAACCTTGCATAAAAGTGGGTGGGGTTACGCCTTCAAGGATCCAGGGGCAAATTACTAGTTTTTTGTCATTAACATTAGATGGTTAAGTCCCATAAGAACAGTAAGAATTAGTCTATAAGGCAAAATCGGAATGTCATTGCTACTGCAGATTTCTAATGATCTGTGCATTTTCTACTGAGGAATCTAATCAAATGACTGATAATATTAAATGTCCACTGATTTTACAAATGCAGTAAACCAGCTTTAAAATGGAAAAAGAACTTGTAGGTTAGGAGGATAATTTTAGTGGAGATAAGTTTTTAGACCTAGTAGTGTGAACAGATACTTTACCTGAAGTGCTAACGTTGTGGAAAAACAATAAAAGAATCAAATTACCCACACTAGACTGCGCGACTCCAAGGAAAGTAAAATAGTTCCAATGCTAAAAGATTTTCATTCTTCACTGCTGACACATAAGTCAATGTGAGAAACATAACATGTATTATCACATAAACACTTCATAGAAATGAACTAGAATCGTCAGTAGACAAAAATATCGACATTATTAATACAGTAGCCTATCGTCCACTAAATAATATTTATACTAACGAAACTTACCGATGCCGTTCTGGATCACAAGATATCATTCCATGTGGGCCGAAGGTCAGTAAAGGTTCTACAGTAACTTCACTTTCTCTTTTTAGTCCAGGACAAAACTTGGTTCGAAGTAGAAGTTGATAAAAAACGTTGGACGGAATCGAGACTATTTTGTCTATTGGTTCGGGGAAGAGTCTAAGAAATAAACAAAATTGTCCATTGTATTAATGTTGACATGATAAGCAATATATAGATATGAAGTTTAGCAGTCACCTTTCTAAGGTCATAAATTCTCAATGAGAATGTTCTCCCGAATTTTGATCTCTTTATTCTTCCTCGTCTTTTTTTCTCTTCCCAAATTTATTTCACTGTATTATACTCTTTAAATAACATCTCCAAACACTAATTTTCCCGATTACTGCTTATACTCTTATTACCTCTACCACTACGGGATTTGAATCGACCACTACATCTGTGTGCTAATGTGGTGTGGCAACTCGAACTGATGTACTTACGTACGAAGTTCTACGTTGTTACTGACTGACTGACTACTGACTGACAATGAGAAAGTAAACAGTCAAAACTATGCTAATTTTAAAACAAACATCATCAATATATCGAACGAGCCGAAATATCCACTGGAAGAATAAATGCAGTAACAGAATTACACGTCTTAGCATTTCCACATTATATGAACAAGATAGTTTCGTTTGGCAATAAACTGAAAAAAAGTGAGAATTCGTTGTGTGGAAACTTCCATCTAGATTTGTACAAATAATTTCACAACGGATTGGTGTTGAGTTTATGGAAGGGATTAACATGAAATTGTACCTCCAAAATTTTAGCAACTAACATTAAAATAGCTTGGTAAATTGAGATGTAATTAAACATATTTTAGGATAGAAACCAATGGTGACCCTGCCGTTGTTTTTTATTAGTTTCATAAAATTGATATCACTATTATGAACTGGGAGTTCTTCTTGGTTGAATTCTAACTGAAATTTATGACTGAGTGAATACTACTAGTATTGATTGTACTACCCTTCTTTCATTTACTTTTTACCATATCATTTATGGTGTATTTCTTACGAGTGTCCTAAAGTACCAGAAGTCGTTCTTTATATGAATAAAATAATGAGTACCTTATGATGAGGACTTCTGAAATGTACTCGGATAGCGAATGATTAAAATAAAAGATATTGCCAAAATAAAACTATGGGGACAAGTGAAAATCAATTTTGGGTCAGGTAAAAACATTAAATTAGAAAATGACTAATCATTCTGAATGTCAGATTCGGCAGATGAAAACAAAGTTTCAACCTACACATACATAGAAAGATTAACACTAACAAGTTCAGCAAGCCTCATAACGATGGGTACGTAAACTTGGCAGAAATATATGCGGGTATAGTGACACTAGTTTCACCGGAGGACAACCAACTAAAAATAGTGCAAACTATGGAATAAAAATTTAAGCAAACCTGGCGAACGCGAATACGGGACGATAATCGCCTCTCCTTCCTTGAGGATGACGTTGCAGAAAGCGGAGGTAGCACCAACTACACAGGATCCCATAACAAAACAAAATACCAGAAGAGAGCCTGATAAACCCTACTGTCCACAAACACAAAAATGTAATCGACACAGCAGGGAGACCATATTGAGATTTAAAGTTGAAACCCCTGATCTTTACAAGTGATTGATCCATACTTAGTTGGATAAGAACTACGAGTACAGAAGACAAAAATGCAGAATTCCCATTGATCCGTTTGATAAAAATGTTATTACCGAAGAAAATCTCTGGGATAATTGCAAGTATTCCGGCACTCGTATTTACGAACCAATAGAAGAATAGTATTTCAGTTCTGCTCCATACATGAAATACAAGCTTTGCGTAGATAAAAATGGCCAGAATTGTAGAAATGAAAACACAAATCTCATCCGTCACTAAGTGGAAAGTGAAAAGCCTGTAAATGTCATGTATACTCGAAAAAGGAAGAGACAGTAAATCTACCACTAAAGGGACAAACAACCCGAAAATAAAGGATGAAATATAAAATATGCAAAGAAGTGATTGAACATGAAGAAGCCTCAAGGATGTTATTCGCATCATCAAATGACCAAATCAGCCCTCAATCGTAAACACGGGTAGCTAAGCAGCCTATATTAACTTTCGAAACCTTTATGACAGATACAACCTCCACTTGGAACTGCCTACAGACGATGATTTAACAGCTAGCAATCCAACCGCGGTTAACGAAACCTTGTGAAGTAACGCACTATAATTAAACCTTAAACGTGTAGCGGTAAATACATCCCCAAAATAAATAGCACTAAGTTTTCGACATTGGATGCTGACCATATGTTTTAGTGGACTCATCTAGCTGAAGGCGCTCGGTCAGGCATCCGCACCAGATCACGTGTGGTAACGCCGTGCTCAACATCAACCGCAATCGCTAGCCAGATTAGATCAGAGAATTCCGATATATTGGTCATCGCCAAATATACTCTTCCGATCTCCTCGACTCTGTCTTTTGATTTCTCTGGGTGGGAACAAGATATATTAGAAGGTGTTACTGGTAGAAGCGTTGTCAAACACTGAATACCTGTGACATCATCATTGGTGAGACCGTCGTGATCTGGTACACCTTATTGCAACTGTGAGTCTGTTCCTTTTTGGGATTTTTATATATCATTGCCTTATTTTTTATTTTTTTTAAACATTGTGATTTTTTTTCGTGTTTTTTCTTGGATATATATATATTTTCCCCTCGTTCATTATCGTACTTCATATTTCATCATGACTGAACAGACACCTAAAGTACTCAAGCTTAAGACCTTGTCCCCACCTTCGTTTCAACTGATGCCTTTCTGGCCCGACAACATCGAAGCCTGGTTTTGCTACGCAGAAGCCGACTTCTCCGAGCACGGCGTGATCGACACACGTGCACAATTCCTCGCAGTAGTCAAGGCACTACCGCGCGAATTCAACAGGTACGTAACACCTAGTATGTTTACTAGTGATGTTTCCGATCCTTACGAAATCTTAAAACGCTCGATTCTTAAACGAGGAGACCTAACCGATCGACAAAGGTTAGATCAACTCTTCAATAACATCGACCTGCAACACGGTTCTGCGACAGACATGTTGCAACGGATGAGAGAGATTATAGGCCCAAGAACTTTCGACGAAGGTCTATTCAAACAACTCTTCTTGTCAAAACTTCCCCAACAGGTGCAAGCAGTTCTGGTCTCGTTCCAGAACAACGCCTTAGACGAGCTAGCTGCATCTGCCGACCGCATTCTAGAAATTACGAAACCTTCTACTACCGAGGTATTTTCAGTCAAAGAAAAGCCTCACACGACTCAGAATGATATAACCGACTTATGTCACACACTCACGCGTTATCTTAGTCTTCGTACCGACCGTAAGAGATCGCGCACACCACGTAGAAGCATTTCTCGTAAGCGATCTGTCTCTAGACCACGAGAGACAGATAACCCCGACTGGTGCTGGTATCATAACCAGTATGGAAAGTTTTCCAGAAATTGCAGAAAACCCTGCAATTTTCCCAACACGAAACCGACTGATTCGAAAAACAATTCGGGAAACTTCCAAGCCGGCACGCGTTAACGGCAACCGTAGCCGGCGAACATAGCCGTCTGTTATACGTCACAGATGTGACAACGAGAGTTCGCTACCTCGTCGACACTGGCGCAGAAGTTAGCGTTCTCCCAGCAAATCCTAACGACCGACTTCACGAATCGACTCTAAACTTACAGGCGGCAAACGGAAAACCGATCGCTACGTATGGCAAAAGGTACGTTTACCTTAACGTGGGTTTACGCAAACCCATCCACTGGATTTTCGTTGTTGCAGATGTTTCTATGCCAATCATTGGTATGGACCTTCTACAACACCACAATCTGATCATCGACACTCGCAAACGGAGGCTAGTAGACGGAAACACTAATTTGTCCGTTTGCGTAACTTCTTTTACTGGTTGCAGAGTATCCCCAGTCACAGTTAAGCATATGATAGACCCACTCTATCAACCACTACTCGATAAGTACCCTGGGATACAACAAACTCAACCGAAACTACCGTGTGTAACCAGCAACGTTACACATCACATCACGACTACAGGACCACCTGTATTTTCTAAAGCACGCCGACTAGCTCCTGAAAAGCTAAGGTTGGCGAAAAACGAATTCGACCATATGATAGACTTAGGAATCATACGACCGTCAAGTAGCCCATATGCATCTCCGTTGCACATGGTCCCTAAAAAGGACAGCAACGATTGGCGTCCAACTGGCGACTATCGGCGATTGAACGCGAAAACCATTCCCGATCGTTACCCGTTGCCTCACATTCACGATTTGACAGCTACCTTGAAAGGTACAACTGTCTTTTCGAAAATCGACTTGGTTAAAGCGTATAACCAAATCCCTATGGCTACTGACGACATACCGAAAACAGCTATCATAACTCCCTTCGGACTCTATGAATTTTTGCGAATGCCTTTCGGTCTAAGGAACGCTGCTCAAACATTCCAAAGATTCATAGACGACGTTTTTCGAGGTCTCAACTTCGTACACGCGTATGTTGACGACTGTCTAATCGCAAGTCCGGACAGAGAAACACATCTCAAGCATCTGGATCTTGTTTTCGAACGATTACAAAAACATGGCATAACTGTAAACGTTCAGAAATGCCAAATTGGAACCGACTCATTAGACTTTCTGGGACACACTATCGATGCTCAAGGTATCCGACCCCTTAGAACCAAAGTGGCGGCCATTCTGGATTACCCAGAACCGACCACCGTCAAGCAATTACGCACGTTTAACGGCCTGGTAAGTTTCTATAGACGTTTCATACCGAAATGCGCATTACTTATGAAACCTCTGACCGACCAACTTCGTGGAAATGCGAAATCCATTAATTTGGACGACACCGCACGAAAAGCATTCTCCACAGTTAAGGAACTGATCGCTAAAGCAACAATGCTCGCACATCAGGACACCGAGGCACCCATTAGCATCGCAGTAGACGCATCCGACTCGGCAATCGGAGGAGTCTTACAACAATGGGTTAACAACTCCTGGCAACCCTTGGCATTTTTCTCTAGAAGGTTGCTAGACACCGAATCGAGGTACAGCACATTCGGTAGGGAACTCCTAGCTATGTATTGTGCTGTACGGCATTTCCAACACTATATCGAAGGCCGTGAATTCACTCTTTTCACGGACCATAAACCGCTCACTTTCTCGTTAAGCTCTCCTTCTGACAAGTACTCTCCCCGTGAGTCTCGACAACTGGACTACATTTCGCAGTTTACTTCAGATATTCAACACATTTCTGGAGCAAACAATGTAGTTGCAGACGCCTTATCTCGCATAACTTCCTTGAACAGTTTCCAAGGAATCGACCTTCTTAAACTCGCCGAGCTTCAAAAAGAAGACACTGATCTTCAGCACGAGTTATCGTCCACAACACTTAAACTACGCATCAAACAGATGGGAACAGGTAAGGAAACCTTACTTTGTGACACATCTACAGGTAGGGATCGCCCAATCGTGCCGAAACATTATCGACGCAATGTCTTCAATACATTGCACAAACTTTCTCATCCAGGTGTTCGTGCAACCATCAAGCTTATAGCAGAACGGTTTTGCTGGCCTGGCATGAATAAAGACGTGAGGGAGTGGGCACGCTCCTGTGTAAGCTGCCAAAAATCTAAGGTTATCAGACACAATAAATGTCCCTTAGGCTCATTTAAAACTCCCGATGCTCGTTTCGACCATGTTCATCTGGATTTGGTAGGACCTTTACCAGATTCAAATGGATACTCTTACCTCTTAACCTGCGTAGACCGTTTCACTCGATGGCCAGAAGCAGTACCTATCAAGGACATCACTGCTGAAACAGTGGCCCGCACCTTCGTCGAACGATGGGTAGCAAACTTCGGCTGCCCTTCAACCATCACTACAGACCGCGGACGTCAGTTTGAATCTGAACTTTTCCGTCGTCTGACCACACTTTTAGGAATCACTCGCTTCCGAACGACCGCCTACCACCCACAAGCAAACGGGTTGGTAGAACGTTTTCACCGACAACTAAAAGCTTCACTATCAGCTGCAAACGTTTCACAGTGGACCGACGCTCTTCCACTCGTCTTACTAGGTATCCGCAATGCAGTGAAAGCTGACATTGGATACACTGCGGCTCAACTCGTTTATGGAACGACACTTCGACTTCCAGGAGAATTCGTGGATCCTTCGTCCTCTTCAATGAACATGGATCTAACCTCCTACACGAACAGGCTTACAAACGCAATGCGTTCAGTTAAACCTGCTTCCACTCGACCTCAATCAACTGATGTTTTCGTTCAACCTGACTTACGATATAGTACACACGTTTTCGTTCGTCGAGACTCGCATCGACGACCATTCGAATCAGCGTACGAAGGACCTTTCAAAGTTCTTCAACGTGAATCTAAGTACTATATAGTCGATAAGAACGGAACAAACGATAGCATCAGCATCGATCGCTTAAAAGCAGCGTATTTAGAAGGAAATCCTATTCACGTCGACTTTCCTTCGGTACAATCGCACAACACGACTCCTACACTCATAATTCCCCAACCGACAACCAACACTAGCGACGATACTCCGAATGTATCTGAAAATAAACCTAAAACGACGCGTTCTGGAAGAAGGGTGAGATTTCCAGAACATTTAAACGACTACTGCACGTAAAGCACTACTCGACGTTTTATATTATCTCGATCTTTCTTTTTACGATATATAATTTTTTTAAACAAAACAATTTTAATATGCCTATATGTTTATATTTTTATTTTAAAAAAGAACAAAAAAAACAAAATTATTTTTTAACGCTATTACGTGTGCTTGAGTTTATTTTCCATTTTTTCGCCGACATTGTGTTTTTACGCACATACGAGTGTATTTCGACATGCACTTACATTTCTTTTTTCTTTTCCAGGACGGCTGGAAAAGAACGATGCAGTTTACGAGGAGTCGAAATTTTCGTTGTAACTTTTTCTTTTTTTTACTATGTTGTACCTCGGTCCCATATAGTAAGGAAAGACGACCAGACGCTGCTACACTTAGTAAGCTATCAGAAGAGTGTTTACCAACGACAAACTCGTTGGGTTTAAACTTCTGGCTGGCCACGTCTTAGGGTCGTCACTGCCCCACTAGGGGGGGAGTGATCTGTAGCGGTAAATAAATCCCCAAAATAAATAGCACTAAGTTTTCGACATTGGATGCTGACCATATGTTT